TCCCCTTTTTTCACAGAAAGTTCTTCTAACTTTCTTTTCTTTTTAATAGAAAGTTCTTCTAACTTTCTTTTCTTCCCCTTTGCTTTTTTACGGCGTTATAGATTATATGAGTGCAATCTTAGAATGAGAGGTACGCGTGCGTTTAGTATGAGTGTGAGTGGGGGCTCCCATGAGCGTATTAAATTTTAAGATGTAAAGCGTGTGTGCGTGCGATACAAGTTCTTTGCTATACTATGGTACAGAACTTGTATATTTTTGCGAGCCAACGGGCTAAGTAGAGTCAAAACTCATTTATCCTTCCGATAAATGAGGTAGTTGCAATTGGAGGGTGGTAGGGATTTGGAGATAGGGTGGGTCACTATCGTAGCAACCTCCACGCGGTGTGACCTGGTAATCGATATCGTTTTCTAATTTCTCTAAAAATGAACTTCAGAAAACGATATCGAGCTAATAGCTACGAATTAAATTATAATTTCATTTATTCCCTATTTGAGGATGCCATTTTTGGTTAGAAATATAAAATTTGTTGATCTTGCAGACTGATAACATCATTTATTTTTATCTCCATGAAAATTAATTATAATTGAGAAAACACATTTTAACGCTACACTCATTTAGTTTATGACTCCATGTGTTTTACTATGGAATTCTTCCATATTGAAAAAACCTTAATGACATATTTACTTTTATTGAAAAATATTTACCTAAAAATACAATTTTTTTAAACATAAAGGACAATATGAGTAATTAAAGGAAAACCATTTTATTATTTAAAATTCGTTCATGGAAAAAGAATATTAATTCCACTGGCTGTATTGCAGGAGAACCGTCGATTTTCCTTTCTGGGTTTCCAGCCCTCTCTGACTTGCCCGCTCAGCTATTGCCGTAGCTCACCGTATTTGCAGCTCTCAGGAAGGGCCAAGTCTTTTACCTTCATTTCAGTACGAGGAAGCAGCAGATGATCATCTTCATTAGTCCAATAGGCTCAACCATGACTTTTACTTGATGCCTTCCATTTTGTATGAAATGATTCAATATATTCAATATTGACACCTAAAATAAAAAAAATAAATAATATATATTTATGAAATTATGTTTTATTAATCTCTTTTTATTTAAACGTTTTATTTAAACGAGCAGTGTCCGTCTGTCCGTTTGCATATTTTTAAGTTACTATTCTACTAATTCACTCGTTTTTCATTATATGACTATACTATTAGTTTACAATTTACAATTTATACAAGAAGCGTATTAAAGGAATTATATCCAACAGAAAATACCTGCACTTTTTGCCAATCCCTCTGGACTAAAGGAAAGAACTTTTTTATCATCTGGATTGCAACCCGTTAGTAACGTTACAACTGGTGTTTCCGAATCATTGGTTATACCAACTTTCGTTTGTTGAGTAAGATAGTGACAGCATTCTATAATTTGAAAAAATAACCATGCTTCTTTATCCTTTGGTCTTGGTCCTTTTATAAATGGTAAAGCTAAACGCTCGTGAGGTCTTTGAGCACGTAAAAATCTTGAACCACGTTTTAATTGAGCCTCTAACCAGCGCGTTGCTTCTCTTGCTCGGCCACTAATGCGTTTCACTTCGTCTAACGCAGAAACAACTAAAAATAATGTATACCATTAAATACATAAAACATAAAATGTACGTTCTTGAAATTCTTAATCTACATACCAACACTAGGAATCACAACGATGAATTTTTTAGCATACACTAAACGCTTAAGAGTTGGTGTATGCTTGGATAAAGCTTCATGATCAGGTACCAGATAAGGAGACATGAGACGAGATGTTAAACGAGTCTCCAAAGCAACAACTTCTGCCTTTAACCACAACTTTCCCATATGTCTCATTAATTTTCCTCGCGAATGATCCATTTCCCAATCTTTGCTGTTACTCTTTGCTGAATTACAAGCATTTAAATCAACAGTTACAAATAATTGTTTTGCCTGTTCATACTTTACACCAGCATCTTCTACAGAGCTAAGAAAATGTCCAAATTCGATCAACTTAAGCACCCTTAATAGAGTTTCTTCTCGTTTATTCATTTTATGTTTGTGTAGTATATTCCAATTAAGAGACTTATGAGAATCTTCTAAAAGATTTAACCCTCTTAAATCAATGTCCTCCGGCAATGGAATTATTTTAGCGCATTCCTTCAATTTATCTATGCTTGATAAAATCATACTATCATCCTTAAAATTTTTGAATAATGCATCCACGTTAATGTTGATTAAATTTAATAAAACTGTAACGCGTTTTAATAAAGTGCGTGAACTTTTTCCACATATCCTAATAATATCCGGGTTACTCCTTAACCAATCACAACATATTTTGATAGATGCGAGTACTTCTTTTCCAATTAAAATGTTCAACACTTCATTTGGTTTTAAATTTTGTTTTTTTAATTGAGCAATATACGTTACTCTATCCGATGATTCACTATTTTCTTCCAATATATTATTGGAATTAATTGTTACCGTACTACCAGAATTAGTTACTGAATCTTTATCACTGAGTTTCTTATCTATTTGATCATCAGATGTTTGTTCGCCGTTTTGTACAAAATCATTGACTGTATTAGAAATTCCACTTTTTGTTTTTGGTTCTAGATGTCCATTTAATTTCTCCGTTTCAGAATTTTCGGCAGTTTCTTTATTTATTTGTACACGTGTCCCTTCGTCGTCCGTAATATCTTCAGACAATGCATCCTCTGATAAAACATTTTCTTCGCTTAGTATGTCGTCTTCTGTTTCAGAAACATCAGAATTTATTTCGTCGCTAGAAGATTCCATCGTTGTATGGTCACCATCACTTGCATCTGATTCACTACTGTTTTTTCGTTTTCTTCGTCGAAGCTTCGTAAGTAAACTTTTAGGCTTGTCCCGAGTTTTTCGTGTACCATTATGAACATCGTTGTCTTCTGCATTTTCTTTTTCAGACATTTTATTGTCGTTTAAACTTATAGATTTGTTATTTTCATCTAAATTTAACTGCTTTACGTTATCTTTATCTTCAATATTTATAGATTCAATATTACATTTGTTCTCTTTTTTGTTTATAGTTAATTCTATATTTGGCAATGGTAAGTCTATAAAAGACTCTTGTAATTTTGTTATTGTAAATTGCATTAATTGAGATAATATTGCCAAAGTTATAGCTACAACACCTTGTACCTCACTTGATTCCTTAGTTTTTAATCTTGAAATGGACATTAGGCATATAGCCACAATTTTGAATATCATATCATCTGTTAAATAATTTGTGTGTACATTTTTGCAGTTTTGAAGATATACTTCGATACTGCATTCTTTTTCGTTGCAATTTGTATCACCTGATTCAGATTGTTCTATGCTCAAGCAAGTTTCAATGTTTGTTAAAAGATCCTAAAAGATTAATAAGTATTAGATTTTATAAGTGCCCATATGTTAGTCATTTGTGTTTATTAATCTTTTATACCTGGCATTCTTGGTTTATTCTATCAGAATTTGGTACATCATAATCCCATAATTGTAATAAAGAAAATAGTCTGCATACACACATTTGTGTAAGACATTTTTCATCTGTACAAATAGAGTGTGTAACAATAGCTCGTTTTAAATTTCCTTCTGCTCCTTCAAATGGTTCAGTACATAAGACACTAAAAATAATCAATAGAAAAATATAAAAATTCTTATTTTATAATCCAATATAAAATAAAAAATTATTCTAACCATCTTATGTAATGGTACACTGCATCAAGTCCATAATTTTTATTGCCTGCCACAGTTCCCAATTGATTATGTGGCATTCCAATATTTGGATCAATTGCTATAGCCATCTTATAATATCTGTTTGCAATCATTGGATCCCAATATGGATCTAATTCTAATTTGTATCTAGCTAAGTCTCCAAGACATACCAAACTTCTATGAATTAAACGTATAACGCACTGTTTCACTTCTTCATTGTGATGTTTCAATTGATTTACCTTACTTTTGGCCTTTCAAAATATCAAAAATAAATGATTAGGTTAATTTTGTTAAATATGATATCTATTATAATTATTCTTTTACTACTTGTTATGTGGCACAATAACAGTATGTTGAACAGAGCTTACATTTGATGATCCAGTTTCACTTTGCATAAATGCAAAATCAATAGTGCCAACTAGATCTAAATTATATTCTAATTGCACTTTCAGTATTAAATGATGATAAAATCCAACTCCTACCGCCAAATGAACACATAACATTGCCTTTTCTGCATCAGTCCAAGTATTACCCTATAACCAAATCTGTAGTTAGAATCATTACAAAAATACAATTAAAACACGAATTATAATAAATGCAAAAATGAATACCTTTCGTAATTTTTTAGATGCACAAACAATATCATAAAATGCCTTTCTCCATAATAATTCTTCAGTTTTACGTGCGTACCCAACAGGATCTTTAGTTATTAATCTTACACAATAATCTTTCAATTTTGCGCGTAATGTTTCCCCCAAGGGGGTAAATAAGTCTGTTATCGTTAATGCACGGCTTTTTTGTTCGTCTAATCTTTTGGCAATATCTGTTATACCCCTGTTAATGAAATATGCTTTATTAATTGTACAAACATCATAAAAATTCCATGTTTATTACAAAATTGTATATAAATACATGTTATGTAAGCCAAAACTCATTTACATGTTAATTTCATTATAAAATTGCATACTCCTTACATTAATATAATGTTAATACTAACATATTTAAATTAATGATGTGAACATATTTTGATTGTAAATTAAAAAATATATTAATTCCATAAATAACCATTCAGGGAAGAAATCTGATTAAAATTTATATTGACAATTTCTTATATTACAATAATACATTACTCGCGTGTGTAAATCTGTTCCATATTTAATTTAACATTTATGTAAATTATTTATAACGTATACATAGATCGTCACTATTTTATCGAATAACTTTTATTAGTACAGATACTTTATATAAAAGCGCGCCAATGGAAGATATGGTACATAACATAGGTTATGTTCGATAAATGAATTTCAAGATTCTAATAATATCAAATAGAATTCTCCTAGGTATTAATTCGTTTTGATCTATATCAATGAAATAGTCTTAACGTTATTGTAGTTGAATATTACTTGTGCAAACGTCTCGTTTGTTCGAGACAATCAGTAGTTCGGGCATCTGCTGCAGTGTTATACATTCTCCTCATTTTGATTCGATCATTTTTTACTTCCTGGCCGTTTCGTCATTATTCATTTTCCTGCGGTCTCCTGACACGCGCATCTTCGACCCACGGTAAGAAAATTCGACATTCGCCCTCGCCTAACTCCAAAAACCTCCCACAAACTACAAGCGGAGTTTACCACAATTGTACATACGCACATGCACGTATGGAATACTTATTCGTAGGAAAATCATCTGGAAATCCTATGCAACAGTGTTGCCAAATAGAATGTTTCAAATATATGGTGAAAATTCAAAATAATTTAATAATTGAAAATAATAAGCTGTTTATTCATCTTTTTATTGATCATTTAATTTACTGTAAAGTTGCTTAACATAAAAATTTTATTATAGCGAATAAAATAAATTATATATATTGTACTCATTATCCAAGAAGTTTTTATTTCATCTGCACGTATTAGTTTTAATTGGTCCGAACACATTTAATAGCCAATATCAACCTACAACTGTATTTGCTACTTTCATGACACCAAATAGACACAGTGATCTTTTGTTCGGTGCATTTCTTGCTGCATATTATCATTATCGTTCTCCTTTATTCCATTATATATATATATATATATATCACCGATGAAATAGAAGGCACTAGATTTGGTGGAAACTTTATTGAAGTTAGTAGCATTGTTTGATTGAATATAATCATAAACAAGGTGCAAAATAGATTTATCAACTATCGTGACTTCATGTCCCATGTATATGTATACTACAATTGGTTCAGAACTCAATGATTACTGCCTCATAATTACTGTGCTCCAACAGGCGCAGAATAGTAGGACAACACTAACTGATGAGGAATTTACTGAAGTTAGCCACATCGCGCAAATTTAATATAATTTTTTAACAAATTAATATGTTACAATATTATTTTATTTGTATATAACTTTTACAAGAGAAGTAAAGTAACCTTTGGTGAATAAAAAACAACAAATATTGCTATATATAACATACTTTACATCTCATATCTGATGTATAAATAGTTATATAAAAAACGCGTCACTGCACAGGCGCACAATGTAATAAATTCAAATAAATCAAAATCATCTATTTACATAGACTTCAAATAATAATCTATATAAATATAATTCAAGATTTATTTGTTATTTTATAAACTCAAACAATGGATTTAACAAAGTTTAGTTCAAGTAAATTTGAATCTGTATAATTTAAAATTATCTGATAACTGTTTATTAATAAAGTTGAGTAACTTCTTTATTAATTGTAGGAATCATATGTTCTGATAACATTACCAGACAGAATTTGAAGAAAAAGCCAATAGTTCCAATTACATCAGATGATGATGATCTATTCTTTCAGAAAATAAGATCAAAAATTGATAAAGATCTCTTGTAAGGAAATTTTGATTAAATCATGCTAATCATATTTTATTTATGATTTTTAATTCTTTTTATTTAGACATTCTAATGAAAATTATAAACCAAATAATTGTCAAAGCATAAGCTCACTTAAAAGGAAAAGATTTATAATCGATGAAGAAACTGAAAATATTATTAAAAGATTTAAAGAAGATAGGAATCATAAAAGTCATTCTGTAAAAGTATTAGATGATATAAGTATTCCAAAAACTAATCATGTGTACAATAATATGATTAAGACACAGAATGTAGTAACAAATATCAATGCTAACAATATTTTACAACAAACAAATAAGATTCCTTCTAATGTTTTATGTACAAATTTGAGGTATTTGTTAAACAAATGTTTACTTATAATTAAACATGATATATGTATGAAGTATAAAATTCAAGCATTTTCAGAAATCCTTCTAATAATTATATATTTCAAATGGCTTCAAAACTACAAAAGAATATTTTACCAATATCTATCAATGAAACCACATTTTTTCAAGAAGAATATGAAGAATCTTTACTTTATGCAATGTACCTTACACCTCCAAATAATAAGCCAATTGATGATGATGGACAATCTTCAACTTGTAGTGCAATAAATACTATAATATAAAAGTCATTATCAGAAAGACAATAATTCTATGGATGTATAGAATTATCTTAATTTTAAACATACTTTTATTTGATGTAATTAATGTTGAATATTTTGTGACATACTTATAAAAAATAAAATGTTCTTTTGTATTTAATTTAAAGCATTACATTTTTATCATATTATTATTGAATAAGTCATTATTGTGCATTTATGAAATTGAAAGATTGTTAATTGTATGGTTATTAAATTTTATGCAAGTGAGCATACACGTACATTCACGATTGGTTATATCGTATGAATGACAGTGAATGAACTCGAATGTTTTCGGTAGAATTTCAAACTAATAAGTGACGTTTATAATTAATGGTTGTAAACATTAAATAGAAACTTAACGTTTCAAAAATATTATTATTTGTTTATACTATATACCGCCTAGTACCATCTGTACTATATAATTAACCTTTTATTATCTTTAAACTAACCTAATGTATTTTAGTATTAATTCTGAACCAGTTACTTCAAATGATGAGTGAAATAATTTTTTAAAAATATATTTAAAAATGCTGATAATTCTAACAATTAGCATCCCAATCAGAACGGTATGCAAGTGATAAATGTTTCTTTAAGGAATATAATATACCTATTAATTTAAAATAATGAGTGAATTTAAATTACATCATTTGATAGTTGAATTAATTGGATTACTAGGGTAAGTATAAATGAAATATTTCATTAATCTTTTGTTGATTATATTATTTTAAGTTTCCTAAATTTGTTGATTACAGCATACATATATTATGATATAAAAATATAAGAAGTATATTTTCTAGTAGTTGTATTTTTGTTATTATTAGATCATCTTCCGCACCAGAAAAACATGTAGAAAAATTGCAGAAAGAGGGTGTACCAACAAGTGCAAGTGCTTTAACAGTTGTGGCATCACAAAGCTCTGTCCGTAATTTAGCAAAACATTCTCCAAGACCTGAATTATTTCTTCAAAAATATGAAGAATTGAAAGCAAAAAAGTTAATACTTTTATATATTTGTATAATGAAGTAATAATATCTAATGTATTAATAAGTAATATTTATATTTTAGGGTTGATTTATTAGGTTTATTTATTCAGGTTTTGGAACTTATATCTGAAGATAAAGAATTAAAAAATTATTTGGCTAAACAAGCATTAGCATTAACATTAAGTTCTACAAAAAATTCTGCTATTACCACAGAGGATTTACCACAGGTATTTTTAATTTGTTAAGTGTTAATTTAGGTATGATCAAGTTAATATTGATATATTCACATATATTATATATAATGTAGATTTGTAAGAATGTAATTAAAGCTGCAGTAGAGGGAGAGAAAAAATTAAATAAGCAAGTAAGCACAGTCACAAAAAAGTTAGAACCATCTGTGATAAAGCATAATTGGGTCCACGAGAGACCTCGAATAACTTGGGACTTTTACAATGAATTATATGTGACACCATGCCAAAGTAAAGACTATTTTAAATAATTAACTAAGTAGTCAATATAATCAACTTAATAAAAGGAAAAATATTTACAGAAGTTGTACCAGTGGTATCCCAAGAGTCTATATTACTTTGGGACATTTTATATTGCTTGAAGGGTATAGATGGATCTTACATTGTTTCTGAACCTCTAACAAGTCCATATGCAGTAAAAACATTTAATATATCTTCAGATGTTGGTAAGAAAAAACGAAAATAATTTTGTAGTGATTAAGCACAGAGAAGAAATAGTGCAAAGCATTAAGTAATGTATAGTAATATTACTACCATTATTATTTATAGGTATATCGTACAAACAAATGACGCAACAAATATTACCTCTTGCTTCTCATTACTCCATGACAGTTAGATTTGTAGAAGAAAAAGTTTTACCAGAAGATGGTCAAGTGAATCATGCATTGAGAGGAGCTATAAAATGCTTACTTAAAGATTATTTAGTATGTATAATAGAAGGGTTACTTTGATATATATTCATAGTTTAAAATGGGTTTGCTTACAAAGTATGAAATTGTTTAATATATAACATTTTTCAGTTATTTGTTGTACAATTGGAAATGGAACATATGCGTGGTAAATTAAATTTGCAAAAACTATGGTTTTATATTCAACCCACAATGATTGCAATGTCCATTCTTTTTCAAATTACATCTACTATATGTAAAGTTAGTTGTTATTTTTGTTATATTTCCTTATCTTTTATGGAATTAATTAATATCTAAAAGACTGTTTAATTTTAGGCAAATGCAAAAGGTGGGAAAGTACTTAGCCTTCTGCATGAACAAGCAAATAATATCAGCGGGGAAGCAAAATTCAAAGAACTGTGTTTGTTTCTTATACAAACAGCAAGTGTCCCATACATGCAAATATTGGAAAAATGGGTATATAAAGGTGTGATATGTGATCCATACGAGGAGGTAGGAGTTAAATGTTATTTTTAAATTGTTATTCTTGTATGTTATTCTTGTACAGTTTATAAAATGTTATTCTTGTATTATTCAGTTTTTTGTAGAAGATAATGAATTAATTCATAGAGAGGAATTACCTATTGATTATTCTGCGGATTATTGGGAAAAAAGATATACTATGAGACCAGAGAGAATTCCTACATTCCTTAATGAACATGCACAAACTATTTTAAGAACTGGAAAATATTTTAATGTAATTAGACAATGTGGTAAGTAATATTCGACTTATATGGTATTTTTTGTGGAATTGCTGAAACTCATTAAATAGTTAAAAAGTTTATTCAATCATTTGTAGGTAAAACAGTTCAATGGGGAAAACAAGAACCTTTAATTTATCAACATCAAGGTCAAAAATATATAGCTGCTATTGATAGAGCATATTCTGAGGCTGCAAAAACTTTATTAGAAGTCCTCATACACGAAAATGATTTAATGGGGCGACTTCGTAGTGTAAAAAGTTATTTCCTTCTTGCACAAGGCGATTTTATAGTAAGTTTAAAATAACGAAATGTTTTATTAATGATTTGTATAATACTTTTACATAGATATGTATGATAGCATTTAATTTTAGGTTCAGTTTATGAACTTATGCGAGGCGGAATTAAATAAAAGTATGTACGATATTGTCATTCATCGATTAGCGTCCCTTTTAGAAGTGGCATTGCGTCTGTCTACTGCAGATTCAGATCCATATAAAGATGATCTGAAACCTGAACTTTTACCATATGATCTACAGTTCCAAATGTTTAGAATACTTTCCATTCAAACCAGAGAAGAAAAAGGTATATTTTATTAATATATTTATGTGTATAGTAAAAATTCCTGATATTATTTTAAGTTATATCTTTTATTTTAGAATATTGTTTCCAAACTGATAAAACTTTAACTGGTTTGGAAGCATTTGTATTTAATTACGATGTTAAGTGGCCTGTTTCTTTGATACTCAACAGGAAAGCAATAGCTTGTTATCAGATGTTATTCAGGCATCTGTTTTATTGCAAATATATTGAAAGACGTTTATGCAGGTTGCTATATAATTTTATAATTATTTAAAATTGATTACATTTGTAAGTTAAATAAATATATAGCTGTATACATATGTGTGTATTAATTGAAATAATACTACTTTTTAGGGTATGGGTTAGTAATAAAATTGCAAAAACTTTTACCCACAATGTAGCAATGTCATATAGGCAAGCATTTTCTTTACGGCAACGAATGCTTGACTGTATTCAACATTTGGCATATTATATGATGGTTGAAGTTATAGAACCAAATTGGTTAACATTTCTAAATAAAATGAGTAAGGTATGGCAGCAAATGAAAATAATTAATTTTGAAATATATATTTTTACCTATATTTGTTTAATTTTAACACAGGTCAGTAACGTAGACGATGTTTTAAGTGTACATCAAGACCTGCAGGATAGTTACTTAAAAGAGTGCATGTTAACAGATCCCGATCTCCTTGGTTGCATAACAGGAATCTGTGCTGCTTGTCTTGATTTTTGCAATTTTATGGAGGTAAGAGATATAATTTTAGTATAGAAATATATAAGTATATAAAGGTAATTTAAAATATGCAGTTATATACGTAATACATATGCGTATATGTATAAAATATAAAAATTTTCTGTCTAAGTTGCATTCTTTAGTTGAGCTCAGATTCTTTTAAATATTTTTCTTTACCTAATCATTAAAAAGGATTAAATAGGAGTTACAAATATTAATAAAACTATACACCGAACTGTGAATATAATTAAGGTATTTCTCAATGACATTTTATTTAAGTGTTACTCAACATACTCTTATATTCTACATGCGATAGAAGTCGAAATTATTGCTTTGGTACTAGATAAATCATTGTCAGAAATGTTAACTAGGTCTGCATGATGTTTGTTACTGAGATAATTATTGACATCTGATGGTTGTAGTCTAACATTTTTTTATATTAATCCATAACAAGCATAAAAACTGGTTGTAAAACCAATTTTAATATTTTACCGATGTTAAGCGTATGAGCCCATACTACATTGACGCCGAATTGACTTCCATGATTGGCGCCTATCAGGACGATGTCTATGATTCTGAGGTATATCCCCAAAGTTATAACTTTGCTTCCATGCATTTGTATAGTACTAGTATCATGAAGCTTTTCTTTTTTAGTAAAGATTAAAAATTATTATAACAATCATCTTTGTATCGTGCATACAGAATACATTTTTAAATTCGCATGTTTTGTATATATAATATAAACACATTCATTTTTTTTATTTCAATGTTTTCAATAATAAAGAGAAATTAATAAATTAAAATTGTTCATTTCACATGCTGTTAATCACATAATAAAATGCACTATCGCAATCATTGCTATTAACATCCGTACTTTCATATTAATAAAGAGATTTAATATTAGAATTACCTATAAACTTCGAGGAATAGTTACATTTCTTCAATAAATGAAAAGACAACTTTTGAACATGTAAATGTTATGTTGACTCTTAGGAGTATGCTGTAGTAAATTGGGTATTCAAGATTGATATCGACATTGCATTCTAGATATAAAATAACAAGTAACTTATAAAGAGCTCTTCAAAATATAGGTTGGTATATGAAACAATTCATCGTATGATTTTTATTTTCATTTTGATGTTGCATATTTCATTTTACAAAAAAACGTACTAATCTTTTTCTAACCCGTAGAGTAAGTATGTGATAATATTCATTATAAAATTATTATATTTTAATTAATGGAAATGGCGCATGCAGTGTTTATATTAAACATAAATATTTTAATTGTTCCCTTGCAAATGATACTACAACTTGACAATACGAGTTTGAGTATATGTTGTGTATATCTAAAGAAGAATAATTTGTACTATATATTTTCAATAAACACTTTTATAAAATGCATGAAAATAGAAGTATAGATTCCGATAATATTATGTAATATTTTTTTTTTAATGCGATTATATGTCGATTATTGTAGTTAATAATTGCAAATAATTGAGATTAGCATGATACCTTATACGACAAAATGTAAAGTCTGATTGTAATGTTGTATGTATACATGTAATAATTAATGATTTTATTTTCAGCAGCAGGTATATTAGAATTAAATAATAACATTGCTTTGAACATTTTAGTCTAGAATTTCATATTATAATACAGTATTACAGACATCATTATGTATATCGGTTATGTTCATTTTCTATAATGTATGCTTCTTAATCTTAGTTCTAAAAAGGGTCTTACAATTTTATTAAATAAAATACAAGGTTATTAGCATTGTTTTTGTATAATGTTTCAGGGTGAAGACGGTGATATGTCTAAAGAAAATGCAGCCAGTTTCGAGGAAATGATTGTATTACTAGATGAGAAATTTACTCAAGTATTAATACGTCTTCTAGACAGAATCTGTGATCTTGGGTGTGATAATAATAATGAGAAGCTACTCAACGTCTTTTGTAGGTAAGTATTATAAAAAATAATGAGTACTTATATTTTCTATAAAACAAAGATATGAACGATCAATTTTTGAGTATTACTACTGTATTTGTACAACTTTTTTAATTAGGCTAGATTTCAATTTATTTTATACCGACATTTTGATACAACGTGGAAGAGAAAAGACGACGCAAGAAGATGTTTCGGGTTAAATATCAATCATTCATGCCCAGTAGAATACTATATAATTACAGTCATATTATACACCGTCTACAAGTTTTCACATAATGTTTGTATATAGTATTAAAACGTCCACAAAAATTAAGACAGTACTAAATCTTGTTGCTAAGAAAGATTCAATTTAATTATGCAACAATATTTTATTTAAGATATCAAAATTACCACCTCAATTTATTAAACATCACTGATCCTTTCATATCTATCACCTTGTACAATTATAAAATTGTTATAAAACAACCATTTATTTTGTCATTTAAAAAATAAAATATATTTTATAAAGATTCAACATCTATAACGTTTATGCTGGAATGTTTAAATTGAAAATATTTTTCTAAAATTTGTATATTATACAAAAACAATACACATAATATTTAAAATATGCAATTATTAATTAATCCATGTCAAATTCCATGTTTTGACCATAAAATAAAATTATGAAAGACATCAACATTTTTAATACAATATGGATTAATTAATTGCATTATGTAATTCTTAATCTCAATTGTTTTGATAAACTATTTAATTATTCACATATATGTATAATATGCCAAATGTTTTACACGCGTATGTATCGCATTTCCGTGAAATAGTATATACGATGTTACATTTAAAATTGATTCAGTCTTAATATCAGTCTTTGCAGAAAGATTTGTAAGGATGAGTCTTGCATACATCTTTTAATTAACTGGATACACGAGCAACTTTGTGTACAATTAAATAGTTTATTAAATTTAATTTAGAAAAAGTCAATTTTAAACGACACTTAATGATACATAAAATTACTACTTCAGTTTTCTGTAGGCACTGATAACGTATCCAACAATACATTAGAAATAATAAATGTTACAATATTAATACTTTAATTTTCATCTTCTCTGGCAACATTAAAATTATTATTTTCAATTCCTTGCTTTATGGCATTTAAACTGATTTCCATTAAAGCTAATCTTTCCTTCATTGCCTCTAACTCTTTAATTACCTTCTCTGTTTCTGATTCCTGGCCTTTCTTTGACAAAATTTCTTTGGCTCGCTTAATAACAGTAGGATCCATCTTAAAAGTAGGAAACACTTTATCCTTTGAGTTTTTGTCTGAATGTCCGTTATGGTACATCCTATAACCGAAGGCTTCCAGACTATCATAAGGTTTAACGCTCAACATGCCGTTCTTCAAATACTTCGGGAAAAGAAGTACTCTTTCGCCAAGGAATGTGAATGGATTCCACTTCCACTTATGCAAAAAACCATAACAAATGCAACAATGTGGTCCATGTGTAAAAGGGGCACCAACTGCGATGTTCTCAATATAAGCAAGTACTTGTATCCTAGAAATCAATCCTACTAATTCTGCCTTTTCAAGAATCTCTGCTGTATCACTCACAGCTAGACCATTCAATAAATTAAACAACACGATCGCGATGAGGAAAACAAATAAAATGAACACGAAATGACTCAAAACTGGATGCGATACAAAAGGAATATCATTGGCATCAAATTCTCCGGTGAGCATAATGATGGTCTTGAACAACGAGTGTCCAGGATCAGGGAAGTTATCGTCGTCATCGTCTTTGAACAGAGTAAAGAAAGCCAAAGCGAAGGCTAGTATGAGAAACGCGTAAAGAAAGAGAAAACGAATGAAATTGAGGGATACAGTTTTGAACATTTCGATACCGGTAGACATTCGCGGATGTTGACCAATAAGCATAACGAGTTCCCAAGCAGATAACAGTATGGTTATAGCAGCAACTTGCGTGCCTGCTCCACATAATATAGCGAATCCTAAAAATATCAGAGTCATTTCTACCCAATTTTCAAAACTAGATATGTAATGACAAGGAGACGAGATCAACTGAAGGATCTCCCTGAGCGCGAAGAGCGTTAATAAAATTCCTGTGAATATTTGTAAAACGTCGACGGACATTGATTGCATTGATTTATCGATTGAATCGCTGGAGTTTGTCGCCAGTTCTGGATCCTTTGTATAAGTTACGTGTAAGATATATGCATTCAAAAATAGATAAAAGAGAACATAGAAGGCAAAATTCAAGAAAAGAAGATGTCTTATCTTGTGCCATTTCAGATACAAGAATGAAGATGGAAGAGGATGCTTCAGCAAATGCTTCAAACTGGTATTGTCGGCAATGTATCGGAAAATATCCATCTCTCGTTTCCCATGATCGTTCAAATTTTTTTCTTGGTAAGGCGAATCATGAGGCATCAGACATTTGTAATTGAACTCGATAGTGTACTCATTTGTTCGTTCTTTCCTAGCTTGGATACAGTTATCGAAATATTGGGATAATGTAGAAACGGAAATATCTGCAACAGGTGGTATTGCAAAGTTGTTCATGTGACCAATGTAACTTCCTTTTTCCAGTAATAATGTTACTGCTTCGCGACAATTTGCTCTGGCTGCATAATGTAATGGAGTGTTTCCTTTACCTGTAAAATAACATAATAAACAATGTCTGCCTGTTTGCACAGAGTCTGATTCAATACCCAGTTGTAAGGTTCAAGAAGTTTCAACGCGAGAGTTAAATCATTGATTAGATAGAAAACGTCACAGTGCCTGTACTTACTATCTACACATCGTACGTCTACGTCATCTCTTTCAAGAATGATCTTCACACATTCCAAATGATTGGACATATTCTCTGATCCTTCCTTTCCTGGTATACCCAATTCCATACAAGCATTTAAAAGCAACATATTCTTATCAATTTCAGAATCCATGTTTAATATTTGAAGGAGGATATCTGGTAAACCTTGTTGAATCGCTATGTTCGCGGGTTTTACCAAATTGCAACAACATCTCTTGGTCCTTTCCAGCAACGCAACGACCGTATCTTTGAAATTTCGTTGAACAGCCATTTCAATTAGATCTTCTGCAACGTTGTTTACTACATCGTCTTGAACGAGCTTCAAGCACTTCAAGAAATTAGCTTCGTCGTTTGCATTTAAATAATATTTCAAATCATGAACGTTTACGCCTCTTTTTTGTACGGCAGGAAGCGGAATATCAGGTAGCTTCTTTTCTAGGATGTCTCTAGTTGTTTGATTATTATAGTCTTTATAATTATCCAAGTCTAGAACATGTGTCGATTTCTGCAGGATCAGATTCACCATATCCTTTTGACCTTTCATAGCCGACATATGGAGAGCCGTCAATCCTTTATTATTTGGAATATTGGGGCTGGCACCTTTTTCTAGAAGTAATTCTGCACAGTTCAAATCGTTTTTCTTCACAGCCATGTGCAGAGCAGTTTGTTGCCCAGCTTCTAAATTCGGATTTATCGTAGGTTCGTCTAGGAGTACGCGAAGAGTATCGACGTATCCATTTTCCGTGGCAAAGTGAATTGGTCCACGGTTGTGAGCTTGATTGACTCTGTTCACTTTAGCTCCTTTTTCCAGTAAAAACTTGGCAAATTCCGAAAGGCCATTTTTACACGCGATATCTAAACAAGTCTCATCCGATCGATTTGCATATGGATGATTTATATCGATACTGAACGGTTGTTTTTTCAAACTTTGCTCGATCAAACTCTTGAATGATCTAATGTCCTTTGAACGTAAGCTGTCCAGTAGTAATTTATAAATGATTTGGGATCTCGCTGGCGCGGTAGTATAGTCGTGCAAAAGGTGCGTTTGTAAAGATTCATCCTCGGGCTCCATCTTTAGATCTGAAACGTGATCGATTGCACTGTTATTAGGCTAATTTTCCATGTTAATTTTCCATTCTAATATACTTTTGTGAAATGATCGTTTTAATCCGCGTTGTATAGTTTTACATTGAATCGTGTATCCACGCATTTGTTGTATTACTCATGCATTGTATTGCCGCACGTGATATTACAACGTATTGTATCGCTACACAATAGAGAGATCCTCTTACCATTTACTTCCGATTTTAAATTTTACCTTTCACCTTTAAAACGCTTACATTGCAACGGAGTGTACTCGGCTTACGCTCAGAAATCTCAGACAACGCTTTCTTCCAATATTAATTACACGAATTACTAGCAAGTATACAAAAATTTATTCTTGATTTTATGTGATAATTATTAATTAAAAAAACTTCTTTTAAAATTACTTAATAAGGAATTTGAAATCTGATGTGGGTGTATCAATCGTCATTATATAGCTCCAGCAATGATGTCATTGATTCATGTTCCTAAGAGTCTAACGAGGGTATTATATCCTATTATCTGCTTACAGATAATTCGTTTGAAGAATGTGTTATACGAAGCTACTTAAAGTATCGTGTTGCCGATTATAAATGAACGAAATAAATATCAAATATTTTGTGCTCCTATTAATAATGGATATATTTTATCATCTCATCCTGTGTATAAGTCATGGAAGTAATGCACGAATCTTTTCATTTTCACGCGTTTAATTTCCATTAGATCTCCAAACGCGAGACAGGCATTTATCATGCAGGGAAGCAGAAATACTATCCGGATGTGTTTCCTGTCGTTAGCATTAATTCAAGTTCGGACAAACGAGAAACGTGAAAGCTACTGTCATCAGATTATTTTCGTATCATTTAGACGATATCGTAATTGCTCTTATCAGCGATGGAATATCAAATTGTTATTGTATAACATTCGGAATTAACAACTGAAAGGGATTCCTTCGATCGAACAGTCGATTATACTTTTATATTCCGGTTTTTTCAAATTTAAAACGGCGTTGATGAAATTAACACTTCGTTATATTGAACCGATTGAACCAAATAGAAAAATGTTTATTGTACATTCTACTGATAATTTGATCTATGATATCACTCAAGATTAAATGGTCTACAGTATGCATCTAATTATAATAATACGGACTTAATCATTTCATATCAAACAACGCACCTCTGAGAACAGTTCATAAAAGCACTCTAGAAGTATATATATATCAATCTCTTTTTAAGCACAAAGTGTATCTAATCTATCAGAACATCGTACGAACACTTTTAATAAGAAGAAAATTAAAAACCTGAATAGACCTGCTACGACGATAGAAAGGAAATGAAAATCCCACGACGTACACCGTCTGTCAACCAGCGGACTGAACCACTCTTGCTGACCAGTTCTCTGTGTCGTGATGTCACCGTGCAAGGAGAGGGGAACATGATCAAGTGTCAGACAGTGGTTGTAACAGTGCTGCTTCAGTTAACTATGAATGCATGCATTTCGAAGTGTTAATTGAATGTACAATATTAATCCCTTAGCGGGCACTTCTTTTTTCGTTCATTATAAACAACGGCTATACTGTTCCATTCTTATGGAAATGTATGCTAACTTCAAAATATTTTCTTTATTTTTATTAACTACCGACATACCGAGAGAAAAATGTATTTGTTAAAATACATAGTTAGAGAAAATGAAAATTAATTCGAGTTACGCAGAGAATCGAAAGTTTAACAAGGGAAGCTGCGGAAGTATCCCCCTCCGATTTTGATAAAACTTTGTACGTTCATTGTTATTTTCATTTCATTGTCATTTTTAATTTCGGAATCAGTATTAAAAATATACCGTTCAGCAGGAAACATTGATCAAAATTAATTGATTGCGTCACCCATCTAATGTGTTTTTCTCAATATTTTAGCCAGTCAACACAGGTTTTAGCATTCACCTATGATATTGTCATTGACAACGGTAACGTGAGTCCCTAATTTTAGCTGACTTTTGCCCCGAACACACAAGATACAAGGTCGGAAGACCCAAGGATGGAGATACCAAGAGCGTTAGGGTGCGTGGGTTGCGAAATCGAGTATACATATATCCAATAAAGGAGTCAAGGAGATACTTTTTTTTATATTTGTAAGCGAATGACATCTTGAACACAACTTTCTAGAACACATCACTGCTTTTTACGGTATTCTTTAGAAAATCATTTATTCCTCTGAATGTTCTTTGCGCTTATTGTTTAAATTTCATTTATAAGTTCTTGATCGTGACTATGAAAGTTCTTGACCATGACTATGAAAATTCTTGACCATGGCTGCGAGAGTTCTGAACCAGAGACAAACAGTATCGATAAATTAATCAAATACATCTAAAAATAGGTATTACATATGTACGGTGACAACATTATAAATTGGCGCATTATTCCAGACAAGCGAGCGTAGCTTCCTTTATTGGAAAAATGTAAAAAAATTATAATTTAAAGCTAGATCTAAGCTCCAGTTAGAACCAGGCATTTGTTTTTGCATTATCATATATTAAGTTGTACAGTTTTAATTCATACTCATTTATTAACTGTAACAATTGTATTAAATTTAAAAGAAAGGGTACATGTGACTCGCTGCAAAAGATAATTGCAATTGGAGTGTGCGCATGTGCTGAAATGAAAGATGCAATAGTAGGGGTGAGGAGCACATGTTATGAGTTACAGTAGCGCGTTGTTTAATCTTCAGTCGCTCCGGATCGCGCTTCAGGTGCAGGTCTATTATCACATTTGTGCTTACGTGTTTCTTCGATAAACATCTCTTTCCCTTTTGTGTTTCAACGAGTTGTCTTATTGCCCTTAAGATCTTCTCCCTCGTGACGTATTTTGTGAAACTTAGGTAAGCGACATAAAATATATTTTATTTCATTTATTTACCCTTTTGTTATCAGACATTTTCGTCATGTAGCTCGTGCACAAATATATTTGTGCTATTTCAATTTTTTAGACGTGTAAATAAGTTTAGAATTCTTAAAGGGTTGCTGATCTATAACATCAAAGTTCATAACAGAGAAGTCGATTAATATTGAAAATTTTAATTTTACGTCTAAACTGCTATTAAAAAGTTACAAATGTACGTAAGTCGGAATTCCAGTTTAAATAGATAATAACAAAGAAATAACGATTTTATATAATCGGACTTTTACTCGCGTAGTTTTTTATATAACGAAGTTATCGATGATATAAGACAAATTCTGTTTCACATTTTTTTAAAAAAAATTGACTGATTTAATATTTGCTCGTCAAGGATATTTCAGTTTCAATTACACCTGGACCATAAGAAACTGCGATGAGTAAGTCTGAGTAATCGAGCATGTTGTAAACAAATATTATGTCACCGCCTTGTATTAATGAATACCTTAACTGTACGACATTTCTAAGGTATAAATGGCTGTGTATCTCGTAGTATTATTGTTTTGATAAAATCGATGAATCGTTAAAATTCGCGATAACTTAAAATTTGCAGCCAGTTTCGAATTTAGTGATAAGATAAATATATAGGTAATAGACTTATCTAAAAATAATGTTTCATCACGTTGTTCGAGATAATTGCAAAAAAAACGTCATGTATGAGCATTTGTACAATTTCGCGGAAGTTTCAATAATGTAACGAGAGTTTATTGCAAAGCAATTCAACTCGTTTTTTACGAAAGTCCAATATTTGAAAACGTCGGTGTTTAAAAAAAGAAAAATTATTGTCGAAAGAAGTATGAACAAAAGTGGAACGATTCTGTTCTTCAGTCACATTAGATTTATTTAAATCATTGCAATTCAAATGACGAATCATTAGTTTTAAAACTCGAGTCACGATGCAAACGAAATTCTAACATCATTTTATTCAGATTTGCAAAATCGTTAATATTAACAGGTAAGCGACAAATATAATAACGTAAGGTAACAGACGCGTCTCCCTCCCTTGGAAAAAAGTACTAGTTACTCCAATGATCATGCCTACGGTAGTCAACGTGTTAATCATCCGTATCATGGAATGCCATATTGGGCATGATTACTTTCATTGCATCTGTCATGAGATTAAAACATTTTTGTCAGCTTGTTTTGATTTACACAATTTGTATTCGTGTATAATTCAATCACACTCTGTATTTGCAATTCAAAATACCCAGAGATACATTTTCATAATCCAAACTCGTTTGAAAATTGTAAGACGCACATGGTACACGCGATAAAGTACTATAAGTAGGTCATGAGTCATTCGTACGACCTGCATTTATTTGGCTTGTTTTAAACGCCATACAATTTGTGATATTCATGTTTTATTCAGTCCAATGTCGAATGGTGGGCGATTCTGGATACCCACCATGGACATATTCTTATATGGTTGTTCGTGAGTCGTTTCTGTGGACCGTATTTCGAGGCCGTGTTCGTTACACAATTCCGAAGAAATCTTATCTTGCAGTAAAAAATATAACTCTTGAAGGCACTTACCTGTCGATAATTGTCACTGGCGATTAAGCTGAAGGCTTAAGGATATTCGCTATTCGATCTTGAATCAAATTATAAGAATAATCTCTTTTTCATCTTACTAAAGGGAAACCAAAGGTAGATCGACAAAAACATGGGTGGTATGACGCAAAGACCATGGACCCCGACGAAGAGGCGAGGTCCTATTGCTGCGGAGTACAGCAGTCCAGGACCTGCCTGTGTAACCTTGCCACCATTGATTGGTATGGTTTGAACGCAACACCATTTTACATTAATCATAAGTAATGTCCATACGAACGATTATTTTCAAGTTTTCTTTTTCTTTCTTTCGATAAAATTACGAATGCGAATCGATTGTTTAGGAAAAACTATTCCAGACTCTAAACGAGGCAGAGCTCCAGCCTTTTCTTTTGGAAGCAGGTAAAGTAATTAATAGTGTAAATAGATATCATTCAGTTGATTACACTCGATATTTTGCTATGTTTAGACACTCGGCAAAAAATGATAGTCCTGGACCTGGTCCAGGTCAATACAACGTTTCCGGACTTAGCGCAAAAGGTAATTAATTTTAAATGACCAAAAAATTCATTAGAATCGATATTACGATTCAAGATTGAAAACCCGAGAAAAGTAAAATGTTGCAGACGGTGGTATTCCACGTTTAGATAAAGTATCGATCAAACTTCAAAGCGGTAATACTCCGCAAGAATGTAGGTTCCTTAAATGTCTCTCGTTTAGCAAATTCCTTAACTTCCAGTTCTGTAATTTATGCGTTGTCTCGAAATTTCTTAAACTTTAAAATAACAGTTGAACTATGATGAAAAGGAAATTATAAATTTTGAAAATAAAATTTTCACTGTTTCGAGGGTACCGCATTAACAGCCATGTAACCATTAAAATTGATTAAACGAATTTTATATTTGTTGATAATAGGAAAGGATGCAGCCCCAGCATCTTCTTTACACGGACGCACAAAATCTACGAAACAAGAAATCACACCAGGACCCGGTGATTACAATCCTGAAAAGGCTGAAAAAGTTATCCTCGATAGTTCACCAAAATTCTCGTTCGGTATCAAAACTCAGACGGAGAAGATTGATTGTACACCTGGTGAGTCTCTTACACATTTTGAATAGAGAATAGAAAAATATTATTAAAAACTCATAACTGTACATATCAATTTTTGGAGAATGTCCCCGTTAAGTAAATAATAAGTTGTCTACCCATTACTACCCGAGAATGTAAATTCTCGCGGGCACAGTTTCCCTCTGCTGCTCTATCATCGACATGATTCTTTCATTGATTAATAGTCCTTTAATCTTTATGTGTATAAGAATTACATTTAAAACGTAGACGATAATTCTCTTGATCGTAGCACCGAGTGACTATTGCACCGAAAAGGTGAATCTCGACAATACCCCCAAGTACAGTTTCGGATTGAAACCTGTACTGGACAAACCGAGCGATATTCCTGGTAATTAAACAAAAATCATCATACGATTCTACATCTCCAATTACTAATCTATAAATTACTAATCATGAAATACTTCATTTTCTATCGCAGCAATATAATAATCAGTTTTAAGGTAATTAGGAAACCGCTAAGAGTACTGTAGCAATTTTGAGAATAATAGCCCACTATGTGATTATAATATTTAAAGAAAGTAAAAATTATTTCACGGTTATAGAAGGTTTAATATGTCTCCTCTGAAAAAGTAAATTTAATTGTCATTAGCATATGTTTTCGGCAGCGAATCAATAAATTACTCGTAACACTTACACGGCAAAATTTTCTTTGACGAGAAAATGATTTCTCAGGAAGATCGACGTCATGCTGAACGACTAATCGTTAGGTATTAGCAATCACCTAAAATGGAGAAGTTCGCGAACGCAGATGTAACTCTCCTTCAAGACGTAAACTTTATTAAACCTTAGGTATCGCATTTTACTTTTTCAATTACTACATATAACCATTCTTTCTTCTGGCTTCTTTCTGCATATATTTACTATTTTAGCTTGTTAAACAGTTTAGTTCTCGCTGCTCCATTTTTTTCCTCTCCTCATGTAGACTATTACGTACGTACTTGGCCTGTATAGATGAATGGCGCTTGCAATAAATCATACTGTCACGTTGTGATTACTTGCACTCGTAACATTTGATTTTATACTGTTATAAAAAAGGATGCAGTTTACGAGATTTATTATTGCAAATTGCAAGATAAAGCGTTTTAAATGATTTTTTAAGAATTGTGCATGGGCAGTAAGATCAACGATATGGTTATTGAATCAAATAAATTGCTTTATTAGTTAGAAATAAGAGTGCAAATAATTAGATTAAACGCTTAAAGTACGGTAACGATGTTTATTTTCTTAAATAAATACACTCGTTTTGGATTTGACATTAGCACCTGGAACCTACTATCCGGAAAAGGTAAGAGTGGACCACGCGCCGCAATTTACTTTCGGACTTAGGCCTCCTCTCGAGAAACCAAACGATACCCCAGGTAATTATTAAACTTAATAGTCAAAATTAAAGTGACATCTGTGTCTAAAGAGACGTAGAATTCACCTAAACATTTTACCATTGGCATGTGATGATTATTTATGTTTATAGCACCTGGTACGTATAGTCCAGAGAAAGTTAATTTGGACAAAGGTCCTCAATACAGTCTTGCGGGAAAGGGCCGCGAGGAGAAACCTGATGACATCCCTGGTATGTAATTTTATTTTTTATGAGATAAAACTTTGAAATATCTTAAAAGTTTGTAGATACATGTATTTCATTAACGCGTAAAATGATTATTAGCACCAGGTACGTATTACCCAGAAAAAGTCAAATTGGATACAGCACCGCAATTTACTTTCGGATTGAGAACACCTCTTGAGAGGATAAATGACACTCCAGGTAATTAAACAGAAATATTTTATTCTTCCTTTTGTAGTTATGCTCATGGTATATACACGAATCTTCTTTACAGCCCCTGGTACTTACAGTCCAGAAAAAGTTAATCTGGATAAAGGTCCACAATTTAGTTTAAGTGGAAAAACATTTCATGATAAACCGGACAGTAATCCAGGTTTGTACTCCAAATCGCACTGATATAGTTTCGAACTAAAAGTATCATTTAATAATCCACATAGCAATCCAGGCATAAAATTCTTTTATAATTTAAACGTTTCATTATTATTGTTATTAAAAATTAGTCAAAAATAGTTTCTTTCTATTATTTTGTATAGGGCCTGGAGAATACTGTCCAGAGAAAGTAAACTTAAATAAGGGTCCTGAATATAGTTTAAGCGGTAGGAGACCATCTGAAAAACCAATTGATACACCTGGTTAGTATAGCTTATTTTATTTATTCTTTGTATTAATTATTTAGTTGCATTTGTTTTTATTTTCATTTAATGAACCACCTTAATCTTAGCACCAGGCACGTATAGTCCTGAGAAAGTAAATTTGAATAAAGGACCTCAGTACAGTTTATATGGAAAAGGAATGTCACAAAAACCAGATGATACCCCAGGTGAATTTTTAAAGCGATATAAATCAATATATTGGCTTTTTTCTTCTTTATGTTACATTTAGTTTTATATTTGTTAAAGCTCCTGGAACATACAGTCCTGAGAAAGTAAATTTAGATAAAGGTCCTCAGTTTAGTATATCCGGAAAAGGAATGTCAGAAAGACCAAACGACAATCCAGGTGAATTTTTAAGCTAACATAATAATATATCGATCTTTTTTTGTTTATGTTATATTTATTTTTGTATCTTTTAAAGCTCCTGGAACATACAGTCCTGAGAAAATGAATTTTGATAAAGGTCCTCAGTTTAGTATGTGTGGGAGAGGAAGGCCAGAAAAGCCAAACGACAATCCAGGTGAATTTT